TTCTATTCTATTCTATTCTATTCTATTCTATTCTATTCTATTCTATTTGGAAACATTATTTGTAAACTATTTGTTCAAATTGAAAACTGCATGTATCTATAAATGTTATTTCACACAAATGTTTTTGCATAATATCCAATGTGATTTGTTTTTCCAACAATAGAGCCACTTTATTTTGGTCCATGATGACTAGGGGTAGATGGGGAAGAAAATCTGATTAAAGCTTTTAGTCATGTATTTATTTTTCTCTTAATAGAACAGCATATCAGGACCAAAGAATCACACAGATTTGATCCTTCAAGATTAGACGGTGAAGTTTCTATTGGGTCCTAGTCTGGAAGAAATATTTAGATTAGATATACCTCCACGCAGGAGGAGGAGGAGAAGGAAGAGGAAGAGAAGGAGAAGGAGGAGGAAGAAGAGGAGGAGAACTACTGCCAGAAAGTAAGGCAGTTGGTAGGCCCAAGTGTTTAATATGGTTAAAATATTCATTTAAAGATTTAACATGTTTCCAATGCTTCAACAAATCATAATAAATATTAACATTAATATTAATGCATAATAAATTAGTGTTTGTTTCTGAGAATCACATCAGATTATTGTGAGTATGCTTGGAATGTTCATCTATATTCATATAGATTTCTACAGATTTCAGAAAAGAAATGGATATATGCTATTAAAAAAAACCTTCACAGTTTAAAGGCTGCCACACATATCCTTGCTATGTTTTGGATGGTGATGAGAAATATAAAGTTAATTTTTTTTATTCTTTTATATCACCAGCGAAGTCACTTTTCTGTGAAATCTATTCATCAGCAACAAAAGAAGATAGAGGAACATACTGCTTTTCCCCTCCACTCTCATGACCTTTCCATTTGGAAATAACAGCCTTTTGTGTCTTTTCTGTTGTGTTGGAAATCGAGCAGATTCATATTCCTCTATACTAATATATGAAGAAAAAAAAAGCACCCATTGAGTTTGTCTTCACAACTTCCTCCCAAGTGTCTGTATGCATAACTGAACTGAAATTCTGCAAGCCAGAATTAAACATATCAAACAACCGGGTAGTTGGAAAGGATACTAATGATATTAAAAAGGAGACAAAAAAAGAAAATTATAAAACTCTGATGAGTGGGATATACAGTCTTTCCTATTTCTATGCCAATGTTCTTCGTCTGCCTACTGAGAAAGCTCAGACTGCCCAAGGAGCTGCTGACACAGTTCTACAAAGGAATTATTGCGTCTGTCATTTGTACTACTGTAATTGTCTGGATTGGCACAGCAATCAAACAAGACAGACACAGACTTCAACGATTAGTTAGGACTGCAGAAAAAATAATTGCAATCAGCCTACCTTCCATTGACGACCTGAACACTGCACAAGCCAGAAAGAGGGCTGTGAAAATATCTACATACTCCTCACATCCTGGACATACACTGTTTCAACTTCTTCCCTCAAGATGATGCTATAGGGCATTGCATGCGAAACAAGCAGACACAACACCAATTTCCCCGCATGCTATCACTCTGCTAAATAACTAATTCCCACAATACTGTCTTATGCCCTGGAATGTCAAAATTCCTAGTAGGACTGTATTACCTATTATCCTTTTCATCTTTCCATCTTTCCTATTACCTATTTACTTAGCTTCTTGTGACTATAACTTTCTTGTTTCTATCTGATTATTTGTGTTGATTGTTTTTATTTAGTGTCCTATTATGATTTATATTGGTTGCTTATTTAGCATCCTATGATTATCACTGAGTTTGTGTCTTATGATTTATGATAATTGAATTTTATGATTATAATCATGAGTTATCATTTGTTTCTTGTATGTACACTGAGAGCTTATGCACCAGAGACAAATCCCTTGTGTGTCCAATCATACTTGGCCAATAAACAATTCTATCCTGTCCTATCCCATCCTATCCCATTCCATCACATCCCATTCCAGTTTTCTTCTGGTTTTAGTTGTTCATTGTCCTGAACCCAGCACATTTATTACAAGAGTGGATAGATATTTTTATGTAAATAAAAAAGTAAATCAAATAACTTCATTTATATCAGGTAGGTATCTAAACTCTGCCTTCATTTTGGTAAAGGGTAAAATGAATTTTCCATATCCTTAATATTGGAAGAAAATGTGAATGAAAAGAAACAAAGGAATTGGCAACTTTGAAATATTAATTCTCCCAGGAAGAGGAAAGATATGCAATTAATTACCTTCACAGAAAGGTATCTTCCCTGTCCATGTACCATCAGATCTACAGACTCTGTGTTCTGATCCTCCTGCTAGAAAGAATCCTGGTTGGCATGTATATATCAAGGTATAACCGAGGGATGGAAGATCCATTCCTGCAACATTTGTGTGAGCTGGAGATTCAGGCTGCTTACAGCTGTGAGCTAAAAAAAAAAAAAATCACAATTCATGTTATATATGACACATAATGGCATATCCTTCAACTACAAGTAATGATCATTGCTCAAATTGCTCTGAAATGTGTGAGAAGGTCTTTAATAACTCCACACTTTTATTAACTCCTCAATTTATGTCAAACCATGCCTGGGAGCGATTAAGTACTGTGGTGGCTTTGGCAGTAGAGAAAGTGGATTAGATCCCATATGTTCCCCATATATTTGAATACTAGAGACAATGTGGAAGATGAAGAGCATATTCTTATGTTTTATCACTGCATTTTAACTGGGGAATCTTTGCATCAGTTTTGTCATGAATTACATTACCTGGACCATAATTGTAAATGTTTATGCTTGATGGTGCTGTATGTGTTCAAACAGAATAAATGGATAATACACCATACACATTTGCTAGATGGCAAGATGAATAATTGAAACATGATAAGCAGAAAAGCATTTTTAGTGGATCAAGCTGAGATGGACAGAGAGCTATTTTAAAATATGATAATATTTCTTCAAAAAACACTGTCTTGCTTGTCTCTATTTTTTAACTGCATTTTAAATTTGTCTTAGTCATCTTTTTTCACTCTTTTTGGGGGCATCGGTCAACTAATTGGGAATTTTGGAGTGAACCTTGAGATGTGAACAGGGTGGTGAAATATGAAATACTATTCAGTGCTTTGAGAAGAGAGATTATTTTTTTTGGGGGGGGGGGGTGTATGTATGTACAGGTAGTCCTTGACTTACAACCACAACTGAGACCAACATTTCCTTTGCTAAGGAAGGCAATTGTTAAGTGGGTTTTGTCTATTTTGCAACCTTTCTTGCCAGTTGTTAAGTGAATCAGTGTAGTTGTTAAGTTAGTAATACAGTTGTAAAGTTAATCTGACTTCCCCATTTACTTTGCTTCTTAGAAGGAAGCCAAAGGTGATCGTATGACTCTGGGACACAGCAACCATCATAAACACATGTGAGTTGCCAAGTGGCTCAATTTTGATATTGTGATCATGGGGATGCTGCAAAGTGGGAAAAACAACCATAGGTCACTTTTCAGTGCCATTGTAACTTTGAATTGTCACTAAATGAATGGTTGTAATTTGAAAATTACCTGTATTACATTTTTTCTTTATTTTTAGCATTAAAACCTGAGAGACCTCTACCAATATCCTTATTCTCAAAGGCATTCAGAAAGGAAAGAATAATGTCAGAATCCACCCCATAGGGTTTCACTTTAACACTAGTGTCAACCCTGAAGCTGACCTGAATGAGGCCATTTTGAGGCTTCAGGGCTGCCACAACTGGAGCTAAGGGATAGGGAGTGGGGAGTAGAGATAGCTGGTTTTTTTTAGCCAAAACAAAATACTTTTTCTTGGGAACCAAGGACATTCCAGCAAGTGCTTGGAAGGAGGGGACTGAGGTCACCTAGCAACTGGACTGTATCCCGATTGGATCGTGTGACTGATTGTTTTGAGAAAGTGAAAAACTTCTACTTTTAATTAGGTGAAAACTGTGTGAATACTCAGAGCTGGTTTTCATCAGCCTGTGCCATATGACATATTCAATAAACTTATTCTTTGAGGAATCTACCTGCATTGGAGTTTTGTTTGCTGTGGATATGTTACTTGGAACGCTGACATTTTCTGAATGATTTAGAATCTCTGTAGAAAAGTTACTCTATACTAAAGTTAAAATCATTGGTAAAAGAAAAGATGGAACCTTACCAATATAAGCCTCCATCATTCCTCCTTCAAAATCTGGAAAGGTTTAAATTGTGTGTGTTGGGGGGGGGGGGGGGGGGGGAGATAGCCTTTTTTACAGTGAAACTGCACAATATTTCCCACTCTTTGAAAGATTAAGAATAGATATATTTGATCTGTAAAAAAATATTGATGAATATTTTCAAACAAAGTTAGGTCCTCCTTAATTATCACAAAATGTTTGGGCCCATTTCAGCATTGATGACTTTGAACTGCTTCCAGTGTAAACTGTGTTCTGTATTAAAATTCATTAATTGTAATTGAATCCACATTTGACCTTAAAATATTCCCAATACATGGGAAAAGGGGACTCCAGAAATTCCCAGAGAAGACTCTATGGAGTGATATGAAAATTCAGGTTGAAAGTCTAAGGTCTCTTAAAACTGCTAGATGAATAAGAGTCTTGATGTAATTGTTATATGATGGCAGATGAGATTCTGCTGAAACGTTGCTACAACTTTAAAAGAACAACTACAATGACGTGGGAAAATACCCGAACAAAGCCGAAGGCCATATAGTATTCTTATTTTTTGTTTGGATACTGATTTGAGGCATATGATATGAATCTCAATTTACATCACGATAATATTACTTTTCCATTCCGTATCTGACTCTTCTCCCTGTTCTTGACTTACCAATGCATTCAGGTTGAATCCCACTCCATGTAAGATCAGGAAGGCAGGTTCGAGTTGTAGACCCTTGAAGCAGGTAGCCTTTTCTGCAGTGAAACTGCACAATATTGCCTACCTATCAAAATTTTAAGAATATATCAATTTAATTAGTGATCAACTCAACACAGAAAGATCACAGACACATCAGTCTCTGCATACATAGACTAACCCAGGGGTCAGCAACCCACAGCTCTGGAACCAAATATGGCTTTTTCATCCCTCTGCTGTTGCTCCCGGTCGCTCAAAATACGTGTCACAACTGTCAATGTGCGACACCACAGGCACACAGTTTATTGAGCTTTTTGACCTCTGGTATGCCAACCAAGAAAAGAAAAATTTCAGAAGAAAACAGAATGTTTAATTCAAGTACATATACTAGTTTTGTGACTGCTCAGGAAATAATCGGGTCCGGGAAGGATTTTGTGGCTCCGGGTGTTTTCTTTTCTGTGGGAAACGGGTCCAAATGGCTCTTTGAGTGTTTAAGGTTGCCGATCCCCACACTAACCTAATCAACGTTAGATATTTTTAAACACTAGTTGCTAAAATAGTTTTAGTTTTAGTTACACTAAAAGGTCTATGCACAATCTAGATACAGGATGAGGTAAACCAGCTTTTTCTTAATCACTTGCAAATATATGTTGTCATTAGGATTGCATCAAGCTGTGTTCATTGACATTTTGTTATTGCTTCCTCTTTTACACAGAGTAAGAAAATTCAGGAAAAGTTTATGATAAGGATGAAAAGAAGTCAAGTCTATCATAAGAAATGCACAAATGGCCAATGGATCATCTTTGCTATCTTAATTTTTATCCCACCATAATATTTAAAATGTGCCCAGCTCATTCACATTTTACAGCAGGAGTATCAAACTCGCAATGACATTATGTGATATATCACAACTTTTTCTCCCTTTGTTAAACTGGGGCCATTGTGTGATACATCCGGCTCGCAGGCCACAAGTTTGACACTCCTGTTTTACAAGCATCAACTGATTCCTGATGAGTATATGCAAACACAAAACAGTTATGATGTGGATCATGGTAATGACTATGATAAGGGATCAGTGACTCCTTTCATACAGTAAGTCACTTTATATTGGTGATGTGTCATTCATGTCACTGATGTCATTGCTAAGGAGACAAAACGTCTCTCACAGACACAAATTGACCTCTTCAGGCAGCTGAGAATCATAAATATCTCCTCCATTATATAATTACATTTTGTTCTTGTGTTTTCTTAATGGTTATTGACTTGATTTTATGTAATTTTAAATTTTGCTTATTAATTACAGTTTACTATTTTTATTGCACACTTGGTGAATCATATTATATTACAACCTATGAGTTGCAATAATAAAATGCAACTAAATTGAAATGACCTCTTCAGGCATTTGGACTTAATGATCAACTAGGGCTACACATGAATGAATTCCATGCAATAAATTTACAGCTATGGTAATTTCTTTATTCTTTGAGTTCTTCTCTTATTTTTATTCACAATGCACTTTTTATAGCTACACAAACTCATTTCCCTGTGCTATCAATATTATTCTTTTTGTGAACATTTAATTCACTAGAAAAAAGGTAGCTTTCTCTGCTCTCCTCATCTGCATATCGAGGTTCATATAAAACATGATAAAACTGACCCAAAGGCTACTACAAATATAATGGATCTATTTTTATTTCTAAATTCAGATTGTGCCTGGGAAACTTTCAGAATACATACATACATAAATGCTGAATTGACATTCATGTGAACATGCCATGAAATAAACTACCAAGAAGTAATGTTTAATCGTTTGCATGTATGACAGATTCTCTAAATAAATTCCTTTTATTTCAGTTACATTCTGTGCTACCCAATAATGGTTGCTGGTTCTATAAACAACTTTCATATGTTACCAGCAACATATATATCTCAAGTCTCAGAATTCATTTCAGGAAAACAATCGCCTTCTAAAATTTGCAGATGAAATTGGCAAAAGCCCTTTATTTTGTCTTCACAAAATAAATGCAGCTGTTTTGGAAAAGTTTATGATATAACAAAGCAGTAGACATGTTGGAGAAGACATGAAATGTAATGGTTGCAATTTGATACCATCTTATCTATTATTTATTTGTTTGTTTGTTTGTTTATTTATTTGATTTGTCAATCACTTACAAGATAATAGGTATAAGTATAAACATGAGTAAGAATACAGAAAATAGGTAGAATTAAATGGGGACATTAGACAGGGATGGGAGGCACGATGGTGCACTTATGCATGCTCCTTACAGACCTCTTAGGAATGGGGTGAGGTCAATAGTGGATAGTTTGAGTTTAAAGGAGTGGGAGTTTGAGGATGTAACTACAGAGTCATGTAGTGCATTCCAGGCATTGTTTCTGAAGTTGTACTTTCTGCAATCAAGTTTGGAGCAATTAACATTGAGTTTGTATCTGTTGTGTGCTCTTGTATTGTTGCGGTTGAAGCTGAAGTAGTGATTGGTAGGGCTTTGTAGCAGATAATTTTGTGTACTATGCTTAAGCCTTGAGATCAGATTGAATTTCTTGAGATCAGATTGAAAACAGCTAGTAACCTAGCATGTATATAGATAAAAATAATTTTACTAGTATTAACTATACCACAACAACCTTCAGAATTGGATCACAGATTTTGCCCCCTTCAGGTTGTCTCGAGAGATTCTCATCTCTGAAATTATAATACAGCTTCATTTTATGCTTATGCAAGAAGAAAATCCTGACAGGTACTGGAGAAACCATCTATTTTGTTCAGGGCAATGCTTCTCATTTTCTTACTGCCCTCCTCAAGTTGCAAATGTGACCTTTTGTTCAGGAATAATGTCAATACTGCCTTTAGGGTAAATCTTCTGTGGTGGAATGGAGCAAGCACATGGACATGCTGTTAAAATGTTGATTGGAAAGCAAATCTCATTAAAGATAATCAAAGACTGAATGTAAAAGGATAGCACTTTTTAAAGCCAATAAACTTGGGCAATTTTTATGAATTTGATTCTGGGTGAGGAAATGGCTCAGCAATGACATCAAATAATTCATTTTGAACTATCTCATGAAAATAGTGCTTCAGGAGGCAAAGGAACATAGTGAGCTGGGTCAGCTTTAAGCTAGGCCAGGGCTGTCAAATTTCCAGCCTGCAGGCCGAATGCATCATGTCCTGGCCACACCCACACCCGGTTTAGCGAAGGGGCAAAAGTCCCGATATGTCATGTGATGATGCTGTGACGTTGTGAGTTTGACACCCCTGAGGTAGGCTATACTTCTAGAAGTTTTGCCTATCACTAGTTATTTCCTCCATTATCTGTCTTTACTTTAGAGACTGGGTCCTTCCTTCCTTCCTTCCTTCCTTCCTTCCTTCCTTCCTTCCTTCCTTCCTTCCTTCCTTCCTTCCTTCCTTCCTTCCTTCCTTCCAAAAACCAATATCCTAATCAAGTAACTAACAAGTAGAAAACCAAACTCATTATTTCAGTTCCTTTGGGCTGAGCATTATTGTCTTCTACATCTTGAAAATGGTGCCAGAAGATTTTTTTTTTCATAGACAAAGGAACTGTGCAATTCTATGCATTCTTACTTGGAACTACTGTATGTCACATTATGGTTAAACGGGCTTAGATCCTAGTGTGTTTAGAATCCCAGTCTTTAATTCTAAACCTTTCTTTGAAATCTGTGTGGAATAAATGCCACACACCCCAAAAAAGCTTGACTATATTTTTAAAGCCTCCCAACACATTGCTGCTATATTGCATTCAAGCATTGTTCTCAATGCAAAATAGACCTAGGAAAATTTTTTGTTCCATTTATTCCATATAAATAGCATGGATCAATGAAAATTATACACTATTGTATAAAATCAGTGGTTTTCAGTGGTGATATTAATGGTAATGACTATTTGGATACAGAAAGGATACAATCAAATTCAATAGTTACTGAAGCTTGAGTTATATTTAAGAGAGATAAGGAAGTTATCACACTTCCTTATTCAATAATAATTAGGACTCCTACCTGGTAACCAAAGGTGTTGTTTTGTGATCCATGACGAGGAACCCCAGGATTTTCACAGGCTGTCCGAGTAGGTTCTTTGTAAAATAAAATAAAATAAAATTTACTTTAGTTTAGTTTACTTTATTGTCATTGCACCTCGCACAATGAAATTAAATACCATCTTTAGTGTACATTATAGCTATAAAAATAAAACACAAACACACATCCTTCACATTCTATACAATTGAGTTGAAAACTCAATCTTGAGTTGAAGATGGTAATAGCTCAAAAAATGGGTGCCCAGGATGAGATGGATCTTTAAGAATGTTTTGAACTTTCATAAGGCAGCGGAGAGCTATAAAGCTCTTCCAAAGAGAGGAGAGAGCAACCAATGATCCTCTAGGCAATGGCATTTGTGAAATAAAATAGATTTTTAAAAACGTATTTCCATTTATATCCAAATGCTTCCAAACATTTTTCAGAAGCGTCATCATTTCAATGAGTTTGAATATTGAAACTCATATTTCATAAAGTATTAATGCAAGGTTTAGAATGCTGCTTTGCAAAAAAAAAAAAAGTGAGCCCAAAGGATTCCTGTGTCCTTATCTTTCATATCTTATGCTTATTGGTGAAAATTGTCCCAGTAAATCTATCCAATTCGAAAGAGACAATAGGCCAAATTCTTCATTCCCAGTGATAACTTTCCCTCCCTGCTTGATTGTCCACAAAAAAACAATTTATATAAAAATCTTTTCATAGTATGCAGGGGGCCTATAATCAATAGGATGGATAGCCTATATGAGCCTTGGTGGCATAGTGGTAGAGTGCAGTACTGTAGGCTCCTTCTGCTGAATGTCGGCTGGCTGCAATTTGGTAGTTCAAATCTCACCAAACTCAAGGTTGACTCATCCTTCCATCCTTCCAAGGTGGGTAAAATAAGGACCCAAATTTCTTGGGGCAATATGCTGACTCTGTAAACCACTTAGAGGGGGCTATAAAGCACTATAAAGCGGTAATATAAGTCTAAGTGCTATTGCTATTTCTGCAGTCATGCTTAGAATGAATTCACAATGTGAGGGTTAGGTGAGTCACAAATTACTAGTCATAATCTGATTTCACTGGAGCTCTTTTAAGCATTACCAAATCTGTATTCCATTCTATATGCCGCAATGCATAAGGACCTCTTCCTTGGTAAGATTGCAATTTTGCACTGAAGATACAATTATACATCCTGTTATAAATTATGGAAAAGCAGGCTGCTTAGAAAAACTGCAGGCACCTGTGCTCCTATCTTGGCCTTGTCCCCAGCATCAGCAAGGCAGAGTTGCCAGTAATGCTTCAACCTTGAAACAGGTGTGAGAGAAGACATGTGTTTTGGAAGCTCTGCAACTACCAGCAGAGTAAAGGGAGAGATGTTTTTCTTTCAAAAGGAGTAAATAGCCCAAACAACAGGCACAGCAAAAACAGAAGTGCGTTAAGGAAAAGTAAAAATATAAAAGTACAATGTAGAAAGTTGAAAGTATTCTATATGCTGGCCAGCCAGTACCAGAGTAGAAAAAATATCCAAGAAATTTCAAAGATAGGTGTTAAGGCATAATAGTGTTTTAAGAAGGAAATACTCTGGTTTGCTTAATGACTGGCCATCAAGCAAATGCCCAGTCATTAAGTGAATCTTTTATACCCAATGGTACTTTTTCTTTTGGTCAGAAACAGGAAGTAAAGACTGGAAACCAGAAAAAAAAAAAAAACAAGTAAAAAAAAACCCAATACAGCAAGCTATCTATTAGGAAAGATGCCACCATACCTATGCAACGGGGAGATGATCCACTCCATGTACCATCTGCCTGACATATACGAGTGCTGGAACCAACCAACACAAATGGAAGATTACAACTGAAAGAGACTTCTGACTGATAAATAAAGCTTTTTCCTTCCCTTTTGCCTTGAGCAGGTATTCCTGGGTCACCACAAAACTTCGCTGTAGGGGGAAAAACATGTGGAAAATATATTGATATTTCTTTTTAGAGGGAAAGTGTATGTGATAAAAAAACAGAAAGCTTGAAGCCTTTTATATAATCATAAAAAAATTCTGCTCTAAAATAAGTGGAATTGCAGTATGTACACAAATACCTACAGAAAGGATAAATGTAAATCATATTCTTAAGATAGAATGGTCTAAATCTTACTTGTCTTTTTCTGTGTAAATGTCAAAAGTTAATAGTTTAATATACAGAAGGTCCAAAATTATTTTTGTTCATTGTCAACTGTGTTAACAAGGACAGAGACATTCAAGAAAATATTTAAAACATTTCTTAAACAAATATAACACATTTTTTTTTTTACTATTTGATTATTGCTTTAATAAGAGAATACTTGCAGGAATTACATCATGCATTGATATTCTCCAGCCTTTTCCTAGCCACTTTCCATTATTGGATGTTAATCAATTCTGTCTGAGTATGTAACCATAGAAACTAGACATCATGGCAATGTATATCAGTTCTCCCCCCACAAACACCAGACCTGGGAAACTGTGCAGATAAAATGCTACTTTTTGTTGTAGAGAATAAGTCATGGGGTCTTTCTTGTCAGCACTACTTACACCTTGCTATTTCTGACAACATCCTAACTGTAAGTACAAAAGAAAATTAATCAGGCATCTGTTTTATGTCACTTAACATTAACTGGGAAGATGGTATTGGATATGACCAGAGTAGCTGAGCAATGAGAAAGAATTATTCCACTCGGAGAATGATAAAACTGAGAAGATAGGCCTGAAACTTGGCTGAAGACATAGTCCAATTCAGGCATATTAGCCCTGATATTGCAGTAATGTAAAAGAGATTACGTTTGATTAGAATATCTGGGGATACAATTATATTTATTTGTTTCATTAAATGTCCTTTCCCAAAGAATACCTCTACAAATCTCACTGCAGTATAAGACACAATGTTGAACCCTTTAGATATAAATAAGAGAAAATTTTGGCCTATTCATTTATTTTATGCATTGATTTACATAGCTACCCATTCCAGTGCTCTTTATATGATAGTGATCAAAGTGGATTTATTTCCCTTGAAGGAACTTCTACCACAATGTAGGAAGCATCTGTGGATATGCTAGTTAAGACCTCTTCCCATAAAACTGAATATGCACTCTTAATCTGAAATGTGCCTTGACAATCTTGTTCATGGTTTTGATATACCACTAATCAATTCTATCTATCTCTCTAAAGGTGTCGCCCTATTACATTTAAAATCATTGATATATAGTAGATTAAAAGAGAAGTATAAAATGTCCTATGAAAATATCCAATGCTCTGTTTTCACAATGGTAAATCAACTGAATGAATCAAGTATGAATGAAATTCAGAATGAGACAAGAGTATTTTAGGATTATCCTAAGGCCCATATGTTATTGTGGTTAGGATATTCGCCTTGGGATGGACAAAGGCCACATGTGAGTTCACTACAGAGCATTGAGAATGTCTTTGAGCCTCTTGCTATTTCTCTCAGCCATGGAGTTCTTCTAATGGAGTCATAGCCTGTGGAGACCAGTATCTACATCATTTAAAGATCCACCTAAAAAGGCAAGCTATTAATGCAATAATTAGATTGCAGTAGAATAATTCTATTCTAAAATATCATTGTTTCTGTGTGAGTCTAATGGCAGATTTTATGGTTTCAATTTAAAGTCTTCCTACTTGTGACAAAGACCAAAATAATGATTTGGGTTGATAACTGGAGAGGGGAGGACAATTCAACAGCATATTCCTTCAATTGTGAATTAGATAAATATTTTTCTCTCTCAACTTTTTCTATTCCATACTTGCTCCCATATTTCAGATGTTATAGCAAACACTTATTTTGTTGAAAAATTGCAGTACATAGCAAGATGAGAAATTATTTGACCACTGAAATATTAATTAATAATTATTATTAGCAACTGTGTCAAAAGAAATCAAAGGGAGTACCAATAAAAATAGTGGCCTTGGGTGCAGTCCCAAAACAACTGGAATATCACTTGACCATTAAGCATTGGCAAATTCGCCATCAGTTAATTGCAAAAAGGCAGTTTTACACATATCAGTTTACATACTACGACAATGCCTCTAATACTATAAAGTATCAACACCTGCCTATCCCAGGTCCTTGGGAAGGAGTCAATTGTAGATAAAAATGCCAAATCCAGTCTGAACATCTGGCTGACTGCAACAAACCATGTATATGTCATCTGACTCCCAGTGAGTCTGATAAGTTTACAAATTGTTAGTAACATTTAAAACAAAAGAATAGAGATGCCAGAGATTAAAAAAAAAACCCAGACAGCATATAGGGAGAAAAAAGAACAAGAAAACGGGGGATTCAATCATGATAGGCCAATTCAGGATACTTAGATGTATCAGTAGATTGGGACTGTTGGAATCTCAGGAAGAACTACAGAGAAGTTGACTTCTGGGATCTTTCAGGATCCTGGAAGCCAATTTTTTTATAGTTCTGCCTGAGATTCCAACAGCCCCAACCTACTGTTGTTTAATTGAAGGAACCCTCGTGTAATAAAGCCTATGCTATGAAGAGTTTTATAGGTAATGACCAGTACTTTGAATTGCACCTGGAAGCACACTGGAAACAATACAGATCATGAAGCAGAGGTGTTACATGGGCACACTGAGGCAGGACCACCATTGCCTGTGTCACTGCATTCTGAGCCAATTGAAGCTTCCAGGCTGTCTTCAAGGCCAGCCCCATGTAGAGGGCATTGCAGTAGTCAAGCCATTAGGTGATCAAGGCATGAATGATTAGAAAAGTCCTTGTGTTACTCTTGCAGTCTTGGTAATGGGCATGTTTGTGAAAACACAGACTGAAAAATCTTTATATTTGATCAAGTGTAGGAGGAGTGTTTTGGACAGCTTGAGAAATGAATTCAGAGGTCATGTTTTCTGCTTCCTCCATCTTATAATTTCATACTTCAATGTTCTCCTCCTCCTTTATCTGATGAAACAGAGCGTTTCTTTCTGCTCTGCTAATTAATGATTCCATGGCTTCTTCTGTTATTCAGCCACCATAAGCAGATTTTGCTCGCAATTTCAGCTATAAAAAAAATATCAACTGCCAATAAGGTAGAATGAAATATGACCTCCGCTCGCTAACAGATTGTATAAACATTTATTATTGTAATAACTAAAACATGAAAGAGCTTTAAACCTTCAAAAGCTCTAATCTTCTTGCTGTCACAAATCATATCAAACAGGAAGATCTTGTAGCGATTGAAAAAGATTACAAGACTTAGGGAAATGTTCAAGATTTGTGAATCTGTTGAGTAAACAGTTAAACAGATAATCAGAGTTGGAAGGAACCTTGTAGGTCATCTAGTCCAACCCCCCACCCAAGCAGCATTCTGACAAATGGCAGTCCAATCTCTTCTTGAAAGTCTCAAGTGATGGCACTCCCACAACTTCCAAGGGCAAGCTGTTCCAAGCTGTTGGTTGATTGTTCTCACTGTCAGAAAATTTCTCCTTATTTCCAGGTTAAATCTCTCCTTGTTCAGTTTCCATCCATTATTCCTTGTCTGGCCTACAGGTGTTTTAGAAAATAGCTTGACCCCTTCCTCTCTATGGCAGCCCCACAAATATTGGGACACTGCTATCATGTCTCCCCTGGTTTTTCTCTTTACTAAACTAGCCAAGCCCAGTTCCTGTAACTGTTCTTCATATGTTTTAATCTCCAGTCTCCTAATCATCCTGGTTGCTGTTCTCTGTACTTTTTCTAGAGTCTCAACATCTTTTTTATAATGTGGTGACCAAAGTAAAATAAATGGGTTTTAATCCATTAATCAAAATGCAACATTTCTACTTGATATCATATCATTGAAATTTTGAATGAAAAATATTAGTTTTATTCAATTTTTATTTATGATTTTTTTCTTTACTGTGAAACAAGAAGCACCATTCCTCTTCTCTTTGATAATTCAGCCCATTTAATTTATTCTGTTAAAAAATGTAATACTTTTTTTCAACAGCAAAAAGAAAGAAATATTTTAAAAAATGTTCTGTAAAAAGTGAGCATACATTTGTTATTGTAATGAAATCTGCAGCTATGCAAAATCCATCAATGTCACCAATTTTATGCTAATAAAAACTTCTGCATAAATTTAATTTAATATAACACTGGAACAGAAGTCCAATTGTCAGAGAAACAGGCTGGAGTTTCTTCTCTATTCCACACAGACTTAGCCATTACAAATGTCAGCCACAATAAAAATATCCAGGGTTTTGCTTGGTTGAAATATCCATGTTCAGACTAGCTCTTCTTGACATTTTTGCCAAGTTTGACAAACTTGCTTTAGGTATCTCAAGTATTGTATGAGACAAAGTATTCCTTCCTCTAAAATTTCATAAAAAAAACCTAGGGAGATGAGTGTTTTCTTCTTCACTAATTGAGATAAAATATTACTCTAAACCATGTATTTTTTTTCTAGAAGGACCATCTTGAGACTAGAAAAGGTCCCATGGCCATCACTGGAACTTTCTTTTCTGAGAGATCACATGCAGTTGATAAGTTGGTAACATAGTTGTTACCAACTAAGGCTTTCCCATTGTTTTTCCTGGCCAAAAGGTTTGTTTGTTTATTATTTATTTATTTATTTATTTATTTATTATTTATTTATTTAGATTTGTCAATCGCTTACAAGATAATAGGTGCCCCCTACAGACCTCTTAGGAAAGAGGTGAGGTCAATAGTAGACAGTCTAAGGTTAAAGTTTTTGGGGTTTGGGGAAGAAACCACAGAGTCAGGTAGAGTATTCCAGACATTGACCACTCTGTTGCTGAAGTCGTATTTCCTGCATCAAGTTTGGTGCGATTAACCTTGAGTTTGTATCTATTGTTTGCTCTTGTGTTGTTATGGTTGAAGCTGAAGTATTCATTGACAGGTAAGTCATGAGAATGCTACAAAGGTTGTAAATTTGAAAAATGGTCATAAGTCACTTTTTTCAGTACCGTTATAACTTTGAACGGTCACTAAATATGTTTCATTGTTGAACAACTCTATAGATATTAATATGCTTACAATTCTTAGAATAACAGATTTGGAAGGGACTTTGGAGGTCTTCTAGTGAGTCCAATCCCCTGCTCAGGCAGGAAACTACACTACTTCTGACAAATGGTCATCCAATCTCTTCTTATAAGCTTCTACTATTGGAGCATTTACAAGTTCTGGAGGCAAGTTGTCCCACTGATTAAGCAAATGAAATGAACTGTTATAAGTCATGGACTATCTGCAATTTCAAATATGATCCAGTGTTAAACATTCAGGAAAATAGGGGTGCATCAGCATTTCAAGAAAGTGTTTCAATAGTAACAGTAGTCTCTGCAAAATTCATTTTTTGATTACATTCTCCAGGAAAAGTGGGACTTTCCCCCTCATTTCACTGCAATCTATCACCATCTTTCTCATCCTGGCTATGACTATAATTAAACCTCCCTAAAACATCACTGATTGTTTGATTAATTAATGCTAATAAGATGTCTGTTTTTCATTAGGTTTTTTTTTTGCTTATCAGTTTTAAAAAAGACAACAAGAGTCAATTTAATGTAGTGATCAAGACACAGGGCTAAATACCAGGATTTTAGTTCTTGGCTTAGGTATGAAACCAGTGGGATAACTCTGAGCCAGTCATTCTCCCTTAATCCTAGAAGAAGGCAATGGCAAGCCAGTTCAAAAAAATCTTGCCAAGAAAACTGCAGGCTCTTTTCCAAGTAATTGCCAGGAGTCAATACATACTTGATTGAACAAAATGAACAACTAGGATCCAGTTAGTTGTTGCTGCAGGTGACAACTGATCGATTAAATTGTTTAATTGGAGTTAAGATGTTTAAGGAAAAAAGGACTAGAAAGCAAAGATGAAAGAGATCACAAGCACCTGTGTGGTCACTGCAATTTGTTCCTTGCTTTGTAATGGATATTGCAGTTTTGTTGAATTTATATATGTGGTAAAGAATCCCTGTAGGTTTTACTTCACTTCTTGTAGCAGACTTTGGGTGGCAATGCTCATCTCCATTTCTTTAGGCCATTGAACCCAAGCCAGTAAAAGATATTTCTATGATAATGTCCACAATAACACATGGGCAAACAATAGATACAAACTCAAAGTATCCCACTCCAAACCTGATAGCAGAAAATACAACTTCAGCAACAGAGTAGTCAACACCTGGGACTCACTACCTGACTCTATTGTTACATCCTCAAATCCCCATAACTGTAACCTTAAACTGTCTACCATGGACCTCACTTGATTCCTAAGAGGTCTGTAAGCAGGCGTGCATAAGTGCACCAGCGTGCCTATTGTCCCTGTCCTATTGTTCCCATTTATTCATACTCATTTATTATGTATATACTTATACCCGTTTATACTATGTTTATATGTTATCTTCATACTTATACTTGTTTTCTCATACATGCTTGACAAACTAAATTAAATAAATGATCATGCCCATATGTTATCACACCACAGCACAGAGTGTCCAGTGAAACATGACTTACTGTTACCTTCCCACCGAAGTGGTACCTATTTTTCTACTTGCATGTAGCATGCTTTAGAATATAGGTTGGAGGAGATGAGGCAAGTGATGGGAGCTTATTTTGTCACACGATGTAGGACTCAAACCACCAGAGCATCAGCCTTCTGTGGTGTCTTTTAAGCTACTCAGCCAAAGTGCCCCATTGGGTGTGTAGAGGAAACATTATAATTATTTCTTACATATATTTATAGTTTTTCTTTTGTTACATTTTCTTTTAAGATTGAATGGAAACAATTATCAGCCTGGAATTCAAATATTAAAAAAAAAAAATACTTACGTAAGCACTGTGGGACTTCACCACTCCATGTTCCATTCCCAACACAAGTCAAAACAGCAGGAAAGGATAATTCATAGCCAGGAGAACAGACATAACTAATGCTAAATCCCCAGTCAAAATTTATTCCTTCCTGTTTTCCATTAGAAATCTGGGGTGGAGTTGGACAGGTAACAGCTGTAACAACATTTAGAGTCATTAGCATAGCAGCTGCAGCACAAGTCTCCTGTGTCTATACTGACTAAATAACCATATGTGCTAATTCAACTTTTTTTTTTTTAGAAAAAAAGGTTGCTGTATGGTTTTGATTTTTTATTTTTTTTTGCTTTACTGTGCAAATCATTTTTTTTTACTTAAATATTGTTTATTATCACAGCCTTTTGCCATTTTGATGGGCACTTTGATTGACAATTATAGGAGTTGCAGTTACATACATAAGGAAAAAGAAAGTTGGGATATTTATTTCTTTATTTTGAAATACATAACCCAGTAGCTAAAAATAAATCATCACAATTTGGATACTAAGACAGGTTAAGATATAAAAAATTAATAGAAACGTATTTCCTATTTTATAATCTCATTTCAAATGGCATATCCTCATGTCATTCTCCAGAACACTATTTGAATTATGAAAGACATGCTATAGATATTGGAAGGGATGCAATTGGATATAATTCTGACTGTTCAAGAAATAAGGTTGAAGGAACCATTCTAAATCTGGTTTCTACCTATGTGTATTTACATGTTATTCTGTTCCATCCAGTGCATGATTTGTATCAGGGAATCATTCTGAAGTCAAATCAAATCGATGTGAAGCATTATCATATTCAACAGTTCTATTACAGTGGTATTTCAGTACTCATCCTTAATTCATTCTGAGGACCATGATGAGTACTATAAAACATGAGTATCAAACAAACCATGTAATGTATCACTTGCCTCTTTGTTGCAACTTTCTATCTGTCCCTTTTCCTATGTCAGAGATCTTCCCAGCATGGCCAACTTCCTGTCCGTTCTCTGTGGCTGACCCCCACTTCCTTTTGTAGTGACCTTCCCAGCATGGCTGACTTTCTGTCCACCCTCTGTGGCTGACCCCACTTCCTTTTGCAGAATGTCAAATGCCAAGCAAAAATGAATATCAGGACATTTTTCAATCAAAATGCATGAAGTACTAAATTTTATGAGCCAGTTGAGTACTGGGGTACTACTGTAAGCACATATCTCTCTTCAGTGGTGTGTGGGAATCACCTTGGGAAACCCTGGGAAGAGCCACAGCCAGGGGACTGGTTGGATAAGAGGCAGTTTAGCCACAGGAAGAATGTAATAGAAGGATAAATGGAACTTACAAAATTCTATTAACATAATCTTAGTATAAAGTGGAATCCGTTCATCTGGGTGTGCTTTCCGCCTGGACAACTTTACAAGGCCAACATCAACCATGCATGTCTTAAACTACATTTTATGCCCATGACATTTACAGTCCAAGAATCTAGGGAGATTCCCTTATTATGAGACATTTACCATTGCCTCTTAACTAACTGCTCACCTAGTTGTGGCTCTCTCTTTGACTTCCAAGCTCATTTGCCAATGCCATTACCTTTCTCTCTCTCTCTCTCTCTCTCTCTCTCTCTCTCTCTCTCTCTCTCT